CTACCTCCTCCTCCTCCTCCTCCTCCTCCTCTTCCTCCTCTTCCTCTTCCGCCTTCTCCTCGTCCTCCCAATCCTGCTCCGCCTCCTCCTTCTCGCTCCTCCCCCTCACCCTCCTCCTCTTCCTCCTCGCTCGCCCGTCTTCCGCCCCCTCGCTTTTTCGAAGCCGCCCGAGGCCGGCGCCCCCCCCCCCCGAAGCCCCGCGGTCGTGGATTGCACGACGCGCGCTCGCAGCTGCGAGGAGCTGCAACCGATAGGAATTCGCGGTCACTGCTGGGGATCCCACAACGCGGGAAGCGTTGCGCGGACGGTGGCTTAGCTGGCCCGCCTGGCTCCTCACATCCTCGCTTCTTCGATCCTCGATTCCTCGACTCACGCACCCTCCCCCCCCATCATCATAGAGCAATTTTGCCAGAGCCTGGGGGCACTGACGCACGCGGTTGCCGACGCGGCCCAGCGCCGCTGCACTCTCACCCTCCCGACGTGCCAGTGCAGACGCAGCGGGGATAGGCCGCCTCCCGCCCCCTCCTGGTCTTCCTCCTCTTCAGCCCCTGCTGTTGCTGCCGTGCCTGGCCCTCCTCCCATCCCCCTCCTCGTTCTCGTGCTCCTTGATGTTGCCCTTCCGCTTCATCATCCGAGCTCACCCTCCCTGTTCTCTCCCCTCCGCCTTCGTGGGCGTGCAGTTCAGGCTTTGCAGTGCAGTCGATCAGCATGCAAACGTAGTTGTGCAAACAATGTGGTGCAACAACTATGTGGCACCGAAGCTATGTAGTGCAAGTCCAACAGTTATTGTGCCCAAATTGCGCAGTGCAATGCAGTGCAATCGCAATACTTGCGGAGTCAAGGCTATGCGGTGCAATCGTTGTGGCGCCTAAGCTTTACAGTGGTGCAGTATATGTGGTGCATTTGCTATGCGGTGCAAACATTGCGGCGCGTCCCCGAAGCTGCCATTGAGTCATTGAGGGTCGAGCCAGGCTTACAGCTACTTGCAGTCACAGCGCCGCTGGCGCGCCGTGAGCAGATGTGGAGGAGGCGGAGGTGGAGGAGGAGGGGGGGGAGGAAGAGGAGGAGGAAAGGGAAAAGGAGAGGGGGCGGAGGAGAAAACGTTGGCCCCGCGGGAGCCGCACGCCGCGGGCCAACCGACTCGCGCGCGATATCAGAGCGACGAAAACTAACGCCCAGGGACCCAGGGATCGACGCGGCAACGAGGCGAACCAGGAGCGAAAACGACCGACTCCAGTCGTCGCCGCCGCCGTCGTCGTTGCCGCACCTTTGCCGCCGCCGTCGCGGGCAAATTGTTCAGAAGCAAACGGTCTCAAAGGCTGTCCAAAAACTTTCCAGAGGGGTCAAAGAAAGCCCCCAGAGGGCTTCGAACGAGGGGGGGGCCCTTTTCAGTAGCTTTGCGTGTGCTTTTAGCAGGCCTTTGAGATGCCTACGGCGGCGACGCTCCTCCTCTTCTCCTCCTATCATATTATCCTTCTCTTTTGTTCCGCTATCCGCTTTTCTTTCTGCCTCCTTTTCTCGTTCGCTCTCTCCCCCTCTCTCTCTTTCTCTCTTTCCTTTTTTCTCTCACTCTCACTTTCGCTCGCGCTATTTATCTCCCTATGTATCTCCCGTCCTCTCCTGTTTCTCTCTCTCTCTCTCTCTCGTTCTCGCCCTCGCCGTTGCCATATTTGCTCAAACATAAAAATACGTAGCGTGAGCTGGTGGGCAGCTCCGCGCTGAACGGTGGGTCCAATGGGCCACCCCGAGGCCGAATTGGGCGATTGACAATGGCAACGCTCCTGGCGCGCTGGTTGTTTTTCGCATTGCTTGTTTCGTCGGCTGGTGGTAAGTGGAATTTTGCAGCGCGATCGCGGTCTTGGGGGCGGCGCCGCGTAGCAATTTGCTAAGGCGGGCTGCAGATGGCGTTGTAGTTTTTTGTTTGTTTGTTCTTGGCGTTGGCGCCCCTTCGACCGCTTCGCAAGAAAGGCGAAGCGATTGGTGCAGTTTTCGGCATTCTGCTGTTGGTGATCCGCTGCAACATAAACACAGCAAGGAAAAAAACAGTCGGCGGAGCTCTATTCCAGGAGACGAAACACGACGCGTATGCACGTGCCCAGTCGTGGGGGCATTCTGAGTTTGCTGAGGCCGTCTTGGACCGTCTTGGTGTCATCTTGTAGGAAATTGGAGGCCATTGGACCCTCTTGGGCTGTCTTGGACCCTATCTGGGGCCATCTTGGCGTTTGAAGGCGAGTTGTTTAGATTCTTGGGGTTTTGAAGTGCCTTCCGTGGCTTAGTACTCAAAGGACCTTGCACAGTCCAACTCGTGCCTTGCTGCACGGCTGCGGATATTTTCGGAATCGTGCAAGAGAAGGTGAGCAGGCAATGTGGGTAGAATTCGTCTGGATATTTACTTAGACGAAGGTGTTATCTAGCGCCTTTGCTTCATTTGGGAGGCACGAGCACATACGCCGATGGGCAGACGAGCAGGTGCGGATGTTGCCCCGCTGCCATGCCAATGCGTATGGAGATCCTTGTCCGGGGTACATTCGGCACATACGGTAACTATTGCGTGAGTGCGGCCGCTGGAGAGGGACACGCGCCTGCAGACTTTCATCAATCCTTCCGTCCAATCGTCGATCCAATCATCACACGTGCGGCACATGCAGACATATAGCCAATGTAAGATGCTACGTCGCAGCGTTTCAACATACAGCGTAACCAAGTAACTAGGCATGTGATAGCTCAGTGTGGAGACCGGGCAGCCATCTTGCCGACTTGGGTGCGAAAGATGCGTCTAGCTTCTACGTGGGTGAGAGTGAGAACGTGGTCAATGTCGACAGGCAAGTGCAATTTGTAGAAGCACTGTGCAAGCTCTCGTCGAATGTAGTGCAGCACTTCCCATGTGTGAACGCCGACGCTGGATGTTCATAGAGCCCGATGGCCCCCTGCTCCGAGCACTCTTTCTGTTGCGTGCGCTTCCCCTTCCATGTCTCGAAAGGCTCACCACGAAAGTCTCACTTGCACTTGACGCGTTGCCCTGAAAGGAAGGACTCCCGCCAGAAGCGGAAATTCAATCGCGTCCACCGTGGTGCCCATCCGCAGCACGGGAAGGAGAGTGTTCGAGTTCAGGCGGATTTCTCTCCGGATTTCCAGGCCCGAGTCCGAAGATTGGGGTCCGCCGCCGGCGCGCCTTCGAGCGTTGCCCAAGGTGCCTCTCGCAGGGCACCAGAAAGCACTGGAGCGCTCTCCAGGGCGCGGAGGCTCCTTGTCGCCTGGGCTGCTGCCATCCTCGTCGCAGCTGGACTTCGGGGCAAGATGCTCCCCGAAGTCTTTGGCTCGAGCCCAGCTGCCCGCGAGGTGGCGCCACAACAAGTGCGCGGGCCTGCCATGCCGACCACCCGACCAGCGGCCATGTACCCCCTGCTTTCTTGCCGATGGTCTGCTCCCTTGGGCCCTGCCTTACCAGGGCGAAGCAATCTCTGGCTCGACGCCTTCGCCCCTCGGCGCTGCCTCCATGCGCCCACTGGCTCCAATATAGCGCGCCCCTTGGTCGCGGACGCCAGCTCTAGCTGTTCGGCCGACTGCGAGGCGCGCCCTCACGCACTGCTACGCCAAGGGGCGCGTCATCTCGGAGGTGCATGGGTGTCCGTGGCCAGCGCGTACCATACCCGCTCGAGGCATTGGACCACGGTTACATGTACGCGGCACCCAGTGTCGTCGTCGGCACAAGCGACCTCCGCTGCCGAGGCTACCAGCGACGATTGCCGGGAGCATGCCTCCACCGCGGACGACTCGTTGTTGCCCTTGGGCGGCCCCATTGCCCGGATGGTTCAGCGCCCGCATCCTCGAAGTCGAGAGATGGCAGCGTACCGTTGTGCCCGACCTCCTCCATGGCCACGTGGACACCGCGCCACGCATCCCGCCACGCGCCCTTGCTGTGATACGACATCTCGTCGTGCGCCTTGTGGCAGTGGCCAGTGGCCGTCCGCGTCGCTCTCTGCGACGAGGGACCCGCCCATCCTCCACTGTTGCTGGGCAAGTTGGTGACAACTACGACCGTGTCATATTACACTTCCGTCAATCTTGGGTTCCAGACTAATCCGTTCCCCGAAGCTCGAATCGATTGTTGAGTTCTGCGGCTTCGACCTCCGCAACAATGCCAGCGACAGCGTAAACAACAACCAGCGGCGCGGCGTGCTTTCACGGCGTGCGCTTTCAAGCGCGCTACTACGCTGCGATCGTTGCCGCTAGTACCCGCAGAACATAGGTTTATGATTATTTCAAACAGCAGCTACCTCAGCCGCCAGCGCATTAATCGAGCGGCGGGATCCAGCGCGACTGTCTCCTCATCTTTGGCGAAACGCCCTGGGCCATATCGCTATGCGGGCGGCTAGCTAACCCAGCTCTGCTTGCCACTACGTAACGGCGTCCGAGCGACATTACTTGCGGAACTTGCCGTGCATACCCCGACCACCGCGTCGACTCCCACACTTTCCTCTAGAGGCACCCACGCCGCCTATGGATGGGCCGAGGGGCCTGACCGTTCCTCCCCGCCCCTCCTCCTCTCAGACCCCTCATCGAGGTTTCCGCAGCGCAGTAACAGCAGCCCTCCTTTTCCATCTGGCGTGTTTGTTCCCTCCGTCCTGACGGACCCTTGCACAATTGGGCTGGGCGCGGCGCCGCCGTTCCAGACATGATGGTCCCAGGGCTGGGCTCCCCGAGGCCCAGGGCGACAACGGCGCACGGACGCAAACCAGAGCCGCCGAGCATTTTACCGCCTCTTCCCCCGAGGGGCCGCGAGCAGCATGTAGCAGGAAGGAGGGCCACGAGGAGGGGGAAGGGATGAGATGGGGACGAGGAAGGCAAGGATGAGGAGCAGGAGGAGCCGGAGGATGAGGTGGAGGCGGGCGAGGGGTATACGAGAAGGATGCGGGGCGAGGGGGAGGAGGAAGAGGGGTAAGGAGGAGGAGGTGCGCGTGGAGGAGTTGGAGGACGATGGCGACCCCGCCCCTCGCGAGGGCGGCCTGGGCCTGCTTCACTTGCCCGCCGGGACGCCGGCCACCGCCGCCGACATCCCGGACCGGCGGCTGACCGGCGAGGCGGGGCTGCCTCGGAGGGGGGGGGGAGGAGTCGGCGAAGTCCGAGCCCCAGCCTTGCCGGTCAACGATTCAGGCACCTCGATGTCAGCAGGGGGCACATATTAGCGTCGATTCTCATGGAAATTTGGAGCATGTAGGAAGGAGAGGGGGAGAGGAAAGGCCAGAACATTTACAGAAATACGGGGAATCCCCCTCACCATCACCACCACCACCACCACCACCACCACCACCACCACCACCACCACCACCACCACCACCACTACGACGACCACCGCGACGATCATCGCGACGGCGGCGGCGGCGCCTGCGGCGGCGGCGCCCGCGGGGGCGGCGGCAACGACGACGGCCTCGCGGCCCAGAGCTTCAGGGGCCTTCCTCGGCCACCGTGGCAGTCGCGGCGCTCGCGCAGTTTGGGAAACATTCGGAATTTTCCGACGCGTCGCACGTCGATCATCGCACGGCTCCGCGACCGCCCACCGAGCCTTCTAAGCGCGCGCGTAGCGCGCGCGTGGTTCTAGTGTGCGTGTGTGTATCTATTTATATATATATATATATATACATATATAGATAGATATAGATACATATATCCCTGGGAGTCAGGCCCGCGGCCCCTAAACAGGTGTTTCGGCCCCCCATGGGAGGCCCGGGAGGCCCCTGGAGCGCCCCCGGAGCGCCCAAATCGGCCCCAGATTAGAGCGCCCCACGACAGGCCCAAAGGGTTCCAAGACGCCCCTGATGGCCCCAAGACGGCCCTCCGTAGCCCAAGTCATGTTGGCTCCAGCCGCTTTGGTGCAAACCGTTTTGTTTTTGGGGCTGCAAGTCCGCCCGGTCTTCCCAGCATCTCTCGGCGTGACACCGTCCGGTTTCGTGCCCTCTTCGCCGATGATCGCGATGTTCACAACTGCATACGATTGGGTCCTTCTCCAGGCTATTTTTGTTTGGGGGGAGGTTTAGTGTTCGGGTTAGGGTGGCAGGGTTAGGGTTAAAGGGTCTGGGTTTTAGGGTCATGGGGTGAGAGTAGGGTGTTAGGATTAGGGTGGGTTAGGACTTGGATTCCGGTGGTAGGGTTTGATTTCGGGTTAGGGGGTTAGGGTTGGGGTTGGGGTTAGAGGGCTAGGCTTAGGGTTCTAGGGTTTGTGTATTGAGGTGTCGGGTTAGGGTGGTCAGGGTTCGGGTGTTAGGGTAGGGGTTAGGGGTAGGAGGTGAGGGTTAGGGGGCACGGGTTAGGGGTAGGGTTAGGGTTAGTCAGATCATGTTTGGGTTCGTGGGTTAGGGGCTTATGGGGGGGTAGGGTTCCGATGGTCGGATTAGAGTTCGGTGTGTGTCTAAGGTTAGGGTTAGGGTGTTGGGGCTAGGGTGAGGAAGTTAGGGTGTTCGGGTTTTGGGTCGGCAGCGGAGGTAGTTTTAGGGTTCGGGTGAGGATTATCAGGGGCATAAGGGATTAGGGTTCAGGATTCCGGCTTAGGTCAAGGGGTCAGAGGTTAGTGGCTAGAGCATCGGGTTAGGAATAGAGGTAGGGTTAGGGTTTAGGGTTCGGGTCAGGGTTAGAGTTGGGGTGTGGGTTGGGGTGAGGGTTAGGAATAGGATTAGGGTATGGGGGTTGGGTGTTAGGGATCAAGGTTCGGGTCAGGGAGTAAGGGGTCAATGTCTGGTTTAGGATGGCTGGGTTGGAGTGGGAAACTCAGGGCTAGGTCGTTAGTGCTAGGGTGTTAGAGTTCGGGTTAGGAAGGTAGGGTTAGGGTGGTAAGGTCAGGTTCGGGTGTTTAGGTTGGGTTAGGGTTAAGCGGGTTAGGGTTAGGGTGGTAGTGTTAGGACTAGGATTAGGGGTAAGGTGTTCGTGTTGGGGTGAGAGGGGGTCAGGGTTAGGTTGGTAGGGTTACAGTGGTACGGTTGGGGTTCGGGTCAGGGGGTTTGGGCTAGGGTATCAGGCTTGGAGTTTGGTGATTCGGTTTCGGGTGGGGGTAAGGGTGACGGTTTGGGTTACGGGTCTCGGATTACGGTGTTCGGGTCAGGGTTTGGGGAAGGGCGTTAGGGTTTGGGTAGCAGGGTTCCGGTTAGGTCGATAGGGATAGTGTCAGAGGTGAGGGTCAGAGTGGTAGGGTTTTTGGGTGATGGTGAGCGAGTTAGGATTGGGGGTTTTCGGGGTTAGGGTGTTTTGGGGGGGCGTTCGTTAGGGTGCCTAGGATTAGGGTCTTAGGGTTGGCATGTTCAGATTGCGGTTAGGGTTAGGGGCCTAGGATTCGGTTGGTAGGGTTAGGGTTCGGGTAAGAGGGCTTAGGGTTAGGATGGTAGGGTGGTAAGGTCGGGTTGTCAGGGTCAGTGTCATGGGGGTTCGGGTCAGGGTGGTAGGGTAGGGATTAAGGGGAAGGGGTTAGGGTTAGGTGGGTCGGGTTAGGGTTAGGGTTAGGGTTATGCGGTTCGGGTTCGGGTTATTGGGTTGAGGGGTGTGTATGGGGGTTAGGGTTAGGACGGTAGGATCCGCGTTCGGTTTACGTGTAAGGTTAGGGCAAGGGGGTTCGGGCGTTAGGGTGTTAGGGTTCGGGTTAGGACGTCAGGGGGTTCGATTGGGGTCGTACAGTTAAGTTTAGGGTGAGGGTGAGGGTTATAGTGGTGGTGAGGTTAGGGCTTAGGGGTTAAGCGTTTGAGCTGAGGGTTAAGGTGTGAGTTAGGGTTAGGTTTAGGGTGACGGTTTGGGCTTAGGGTTAGGGGTTTGGGGTTAAGGGTTTAGGTTCGGGTTAGGGGGTTGGGGAGTTAGGGTTAGGGGGTTAGGGTCAGGGGGTCGGGGTCCGGAGCCAGGGTTCCGGAGTAAAGGGGACGGGGGGAGTGGGGTCCGAGGGGGTCGCGGACCCCCTCCCCTCGGGAGCATCCAGCGGCGCGCCCTCCATGAGGTCGGCCTCGAGATGAGGCGATGCCAATCACAGGAATGGAGATGAGTGATAAGTTCCAGGCTGGCAATCTCATCCGACGTTGCCTTGTTTGTTCGTGCCGCGGGTCCCCTGGAGATTTGGACCCTATCCCCGGGGCCGGTTTTCCATCCTGAGTCCTGTTGACGGTCATGGGGCCCAAACGCGTGTTCCGTCGAAAAAACGCCCAGATCGGAGGATCGTTCTCTTTCTCTCTCTCTCTCTCTCTTTTGCTCTCTCTCGCTCTGTCTCTTTCTCTCTCTCTTTGTCTCACTCTCTCTCTTTCTTCCTCTCTCTCTCTCTTTCTCCCTCTCTGTAGTTGTAGTTGTGTGAATCTCTCTCTCTCTTTCTCTGTGTCTCTCTCTCTCTCTCTTTTATCGTTGCTTTGTGTCTCTCTGTCTCTCTCTCTCTCTCTGTCTCTCCTTGTGTCTATGGCTCTCTCTCTCTCACTCTCTTGTTTGGGTTTCTCTCCCCTTTTCTCTCTTTCGTTCTCGCCCTCTTATCTCTCTGGTGACATGATGCCCCCTCTGTCGGGCGGGCAGGTTGGACGCCCTGACTATGAGCAGGGCGGGCTTCCTGGCGGAGGAGCAGTTGCGTCCTGATTTCGGCGGCGGGCGAGGGGGGGAAATGAGAAGGAGAAGCTTTCTCAGAAGGCGGCAGGGCTTCTCAGAAGCCCTCGGGCCTTCTGAAAGGCTTTCTGTGTCTTCGGGGAAGCCTTTATAATTCTTCTCAGAAGGCGGTGGGCATTTCGAGCGTTCTGAGAAGGTCCGCCCCATCTCACTTCCCTCCTGGGCGCGCCGTCGATGATTGCCACCGGTATTGCCGCTTCACGTTTTCACTGCCTGTATCCTCCCGCGCTTCCTCATTGTTTGTTCGCTCGCTCATCCTCCGCCACCTCCTCGTCTGCTTCCTGGACATCACGTTCGTCCTCATCTCCCCTCTCCCCTTCGTTACTCCTTCACCACCTCGTTTATCCTTCACCACATCCTGGGCTTGATGCTACGCCTGATCTGTTCCTCCTCCTCCTCCTTTTTCCCCGCCTCGTGTCCCGCCTCGTGCTGCTCCCCTGGTGATCATGATGTGGATGCAGGTGATGCCGACGGTGACTGCGATGCTGGCGCTGATGCTGCTGACGATGCCCTCCCTCACCCTCCCCCGCTCTGCCCCCACCGTTCCTCTCGACCTCCTCCCGCCCGGCCCCCACGGGGCGGCGTGGTGCGGGCGCCCACCTGCCCGGCTGCCGGCCTCAGACTCTGCAGGCAGACGGAGCCCCGCGGCCGGCGCGGAGAGACCGGGAGCGGCCAGGACGACAGCTTCTCGGTCTGGAGCGTGCCGGGCAGCGGGACCGATGTGCACATCCGCTGCCTCTGGCCAGGCCCATCCTGGGCCCAGGAGCGGTCCAAGCCAGGAGGGCAGAGCACCGCTCCTGTGCCCAGGTTGGGCCCGGCCAGGGGCAGCGGCTGTGCATGTAGATTCCGGCGCCCCAGCGTGGCAGAGCACCTGGAGGGCGTTCTGGAACGCTCTGGGGCGCTGCGCACGAGGCATCCTCGAGGTCCGCGGGCCCTCAGAGGTCTTCCCGACGTTGTCCCCTTCCCGACGTTGTCTTCTTCCTGCCCGACGTTGTCCTCTTCGGGTTGTCTCTGCCCGACGTTGTCTTCTTCCTGCCGTCGCCTCAGAGTAGGAATACGGAGGAGGGGCGAGCAGTTGATTCAGGGGGGCCGAACAAAGACACACTTCCTCTGGCGTCTCTCCGCTGCCGCCCTCCCGCGCGGCGCGCGTGCACGGCGCGTCGCCGTGGAGTGTTCGCGTCAAGCGAGGGCAACGCGCTGGGAGATTGCACAATGGGCGCTGTAGTTAAATCGCGCAGCGTCATGGTGGAACGAGGCTCGAGTGGTCCTTGAACGTCAAATATCGTTGTAAGCTCATTTGCAGTCGCACCGAAGTGAGGCAACACTGAAACAAGACGCCGCAGGAGAAGTTGGCGACGCTGGTGGCGGCCGAGGCTTCCGAGATCATCGCTTGCCAGCTTTCTCAGAGAGCGGCGGCAGGAGGGGCGACGCGCGCGGGCAGCGAGCGCAGAAGAGGGAACGCTTGTCGGGAACGTGAAGGACACGAAGGGCAGCGGGCAGGAGCTCTTTCGCAGGAAAAGGGTGGGGGAAAGAGGGTTGGGAGGGGCCGGACGAGCCGCAGCAACGGCAGCGTCAGTGTTTGGAGGACGGGCGTGCGAGGAGGACGGGGCGGAAGAGTGCTGGCGGTGCCGAGAGAGGCGCGGCTGGGGAGGGCAGCCGTCGTTGGCGGAGGAGGGGCCACGGGGGTCGGCCGCAAGGGCGCGAAGAGAGGTCCGCACCTCGTGCTCTGCGGGTGGTGCGGAGCTCTGCCCTCGCCCGGGGCCGGCGCGCACGCAGCAGTGGTCGCTTGGCATCGCTCGGACGTGTGCATTTCATTTGTCTCTCGGCGAGAACCATCGAGGACCATCCTGGACCATCGAGCAAAAAAAAGCACGCACGAAACCGAACAATGCACGGGAAATGGACGTCCGAGCGACGGTAAGGGTCGGTGCAGGTGGGGACCAGGCGATCCCCTCGGATCCCCTCTGGCCGATTGAGCCGCGCGGGTCTTACCCCTCTCCCCGTGGCTGCAAGCGGGACCCCAGGGAGAGGTCTCTTGAGACGACCAGTGCCGATTTCTCAAGTCTCACCCGCTCCGGGTGCAAGGTCGTCGCACGAGGACGCTCTCGCTCGCACTGCGGAGTCTGAAACACAACGCCGCGGTCTCAGAAGTCCCTCTCGCTGGCGTCTCCTTGGGAAAGACACCCTATCCCGCCCCTCCTTTTTGTTTTGTTTTTGGGAGCTGCGGCTGAAATATACAGAATTGCAACAAACGCGACCGAACTAGAAAGGACCACACTTCCCCCTCCTATCTCCTGGTCCAAACATCGGTGTGTGTGTGTGTTGCGTTAGGGATGTTGGGCTTGATCTTCTTGCTGGCCCCTGTTTTCCAGGAGCGCCTGTATCAAGGCCGGGGGCGGTCGGGGGGGTCACGCGAAATGGTTGCCCAACGTTTGTTGCAAAGTTTGTTCTTACAACGGTGCCACGGGGCTCGCCGGGGGTTCGCGACATGCTCTCAGCTGGCCTGGGCTTGCTCCTCTGGTCAGCCCGCCCTCGAGAGGCCGATCTGGGGCGCAGAGATGGCGTTGTGCCTTGCTCGGCGTGGCACGAAGCAGGACGTTGGGTGACCCAGGAGCCATATCCGAGCCAAGAAGGAGTGTCAAAGGAGGACAAAACCCCGACCCCCATCATCGGCGTTTGCTAGGCGGCCCCAACCGTTGACTGAACAGCCGTGCCTTGTTCGATTATTTCTTTGGGTGCGTTTGCTAAACGGCTTTGCTCGCCAGGCTGCTTACTATGAGGTTGGTGCTCCCTCCTTTTGGAGCGGGCTCTCTGGTTTGGTCAGGGACCCCTGCTCTCGAGGAGCATCCCCATTCAAGTCTTCGCGCCTGCGGCGGCGACTGCTCAGGCGAAGATGGTGCTGGGGGCGGAAGGGCCACTCAAACGACGTCGTGGATGCTGCAGCTGGCCGACCTGGACTGGGACTGAAACAGGGTGATTCGTCCCAGTCCCGAGCTTGATACAGATACGCCGCCAGGGGACCGACCCCATGTCCCAGGACCCTAGGAGGCGATGGATATGGATGGGTGTTGGGCCCCCCTGAGGCCCGAGAATACACATATCCACTCCCCCTGGGACCCTGAGACATCGGTTCCTCAGGTGGTTGATATTTTTCACATATATATATATAGATATACAAATATATACACATATCTCAAGTATTCAGCTTTGAAGTTCGTCTCATGATGGTAGCACCGCTTTGGTATCTGGCGCCCAATCTGGCGTCTTGTGAGTCACAGCTGGCAGGCGCGATCGGATGAGCTGGAGTGCGAGAACGAAGTGACCCCAAGCGTGAAACCGGTTTCGTCGTTGGTTCGTTTCTCACGTGCGGACGTGGCGACGTTATTCAAGGACGACGGGCATTCTCGCCTTGATAGAGGGCATGTCACGTCATCTTGTTCAGGTTGCATCTTTTGGGAGGTCAAACTTCGCTGCGGTGCTTGTATACCCGTAGCCGAAACACGCTTCGGTTGCAGATCCTGGGAGGTCAAACTTAGTTCCGGTGCTTCTATATCCGTAGCCGACAATCAACCCAGCTAATTCGGTCCAATCCAGAGCCTAATCCGGTTCCAATCTGCCAACTAGTCTCCAAAATTTTGTTTGCATTCAGGAGTTCTGATTTGTGTGATTGAGGAATTGGACGGGAATGCCAAGGTTTCGCCACGTTGAGTATGCCGAGGGTTCGCCACGTATTCACCCGTTGTTTGTCCGTTTCCACTTGTGTGGGTCTGCCGAAGATTGGCCACGTTGTCGCCCGTTGCCGCCAGCCGAGGGATGCCGAGGATTCGCCACGTGGCTGGTAGTTGCCGCTTGTGTGGGTAAGCCGAACGTCCGCTACGTAGCTTCCACATCCACAGTGCAATCTCTTCTCGGTTGGTGGGAACGCTGGCAACATATACATGTATACATATATTTGTATACAGACACATGTCTGTATGTACATCTATTTGTATAACTGTGTGTGTTGGAGTTGTCGTTTCGTTCCCACGAAGACCTCGCGGGAATTGCCCTCTGAGAATGCTCCACCCGCCTGGGCGGAACGGTGCCCACGGGCACCCCCATGTGCAGATGGGGGTGCCACACCTGGCGATGAGTTTGGCGGGGTTGCAACACCTTGCCACTGCCACATTGCAGTTGGAAAAAAGCGGGGTGTTGTCGATGGGGTCGCCGCAGCTGGCGTGTGGACGAATGGTCAGAAAAACTCTTGTAGGCATGCGGAGCAGGCGGAGGTCAGCCAAAAGCAAACGGATGCCCCATGAAGCCGAAGGAATCCCCAGGATGCACTCATTCATGCTCAGGACACGTTTCCACATACACATCTAGTATATATGTGTATATATATATGTATATACATGTATATATATATATATATGCAGATCCATCCTCTCTCACTCTGTCACCCAGCCGGCCAATCCAGGTCATTCCACACCACCCAACATGTTGCCCAGTCGGCGTTTGTTGGTTTCATTGAACATGGAGATGGTTGGCCGACGTTGCAGGATATTTGACGCGAGTGGGAAGCGGCGCGCAGTGCAAGGGAAATGCCGCAATGTTGCGTTTGCCAATCAACAGCGCGCGTACGTCTGCAAAGTAGGGCTCCTGCTTGGGAGTGGCCCTCATTTGTCCCCCGCCAGTTGGTCGGACGCGGGGCAGCGCGCAAACGGGCCAGATGCCACGCTCGTCCCAACGCCGCGGCGATTTCGCCTCCAACTAGTCCGTCCGCTTGGGCGCAGCGAATCTGTTTGGCCCGCTCCTTCGCAGGAGGCGGGGCCACGGCCTCGGCCGAGAGGGCGAGATGTCGCTCTCGCGCTCGCAGGATTCGTTTGACAGTTTTGCCCCTGCTTGGGCGAGGCCCGAGCCTGGCCTGCGTCAGGTCCATCGACGTCGCGCGAGAGGGCCAAATGCCTTTCTGCCTCAGCCCCGCGCGAAGATCTCGTGGGAGGTCTGCTTCCGCCTGGGCGCGGCCCCTGGCTTCCCCTCGCCACGTCGTGGGAAGCGGGGCCGCACGCGCGCGCGCATGCGCGCGGGAACGCCTGCCGTTCGCTAGGTGGGAGTGTGCGCCATGCCCCACATCCATATGTACCCGCATTCATTATTCTGCTGTGGGAGGGTGCGTGGGGGATGGCGGGGCCCTGCTGACTCGGTCGAACCTGCTTGCACGGTGCCCTCTCATGGTCAGACTCACTGTGGGCAGCTGCCAGGGTGCAGTCCCCTCGATGAGCCTCGAGCATGCTGGGTGGGCCCCATCCACGCTGCCCCACGGGTTATGCCCCCGCGCTTCGACTGCCAGTTCGATACGTATCCTAGAGTGATAAGACTGATGCCGATGCAGAACCCTCCATCGTTTCTTTTTTAGGGGGTCGTCTGGGAAATCCTCGTAGCCATGACCAGATGCGCCTCGGTATGCTTGTCCGAACGCACCTGGGGCGAGGTTCAGGACGCATCGGTATCGGCATCGTTTGGTTATCCGCAGTCCATGCTCCCCTGAACAGGTAGAAAAGGTTGCCGAACCGCCGACTTGGTGGCTCTGGGACCTCCAGACTGTCGCGGGCTGGGCGAAAAGGCGGGGGTCCTGGGAAACGGTGGGGCCGTTTCTGTTGCAGGTTCTTTGTTTTGTGTTTTTCCTGTCCCGTCGCAGTTGTTTCTTCTGGTTCTGTTGCCGCTTGTCTTGCTTATCCGGTTTCGATTCTGGCGTTTCGTTTCCACTGTGGTGAGTGGCCCAGGCCGACGTACTCCCGTTCGTTCTCGTTTTGCTCAGTTCAACCTGGTTTAGTCTTAGGCCTAATTTGGCCAGACCTGGCTTAGTGACGTTTGAATCTGGCTTGATGGTCCATCGTTTTTGCGAAAGCCTCCCAGGGGTTGTTTCCTAACCTTTGTCCCCGGTGCCCCCGCCCCCCCCTTCCCGCTGGGCCATGGTATCTCAGGGCCACTAGGTTGGGACGGGCCACGCGAGACCCGACAGGCACCTGACCCCACCTAAGGGGGGCAAATCGGTCATTGGGGCCACGGCCATGACGGGGATCGGTGCTCGCCCCCCCTCCCCACCAGGTCCGCCCGAGCGCGCCGCCGAGGGAGCTTGTGGTTGTCATGCCTATGTCAGCCTCGCCTCCTCCCTCGCCTCCGTCCCACTTCCTTTGTGTGCCGCCGCTGTGGCTCACAAAGGCCCTTGAGTCACCTGGCGCGCAGGCGACGGGCGCGCCCTGGCCCTCGTAAAGAGAAAGAGAACGTGCCCTCCCATAGCACGGGTCCCTACTTGCAGTTCGTGTTTCTTTGCATTCCATACAGCTACCCCCGTGCGGTCTACAGTGACAGCGGCGCCCGCGGTTGTGATCCACGAGAGGAGTTAGGCCGACTCCCGTGTCATTCGACTCTTGGGCGTCAGGTTCAATATTATTATCCCTTTTCTGCCCGCTTCCCACCTCCCACCCTCTTGCACCGAGCGCCGCCGCGAATCTTCCAGACTTCGCTCAGCTTCGAGAGTATGAACTTCCAGATGGTCTTTGGTCACAACCAGATCAGGACCCTTGGGCTGGAGGCGGAGGACGAGCAGACGTTCCTTGGGACGGCGACGACGATGTGGGCTGGTCAGATCAAGATTGGGCCCGCTGGTTTCCACAGCCCTGGACGGAGACGCGGCCCAATACGCAATCAACATCATCATGTTGGAACGTGCGGGGCCGTGGTTCGCCGGGTGCACCAGTTCGGTTGAGCACTCTTCAGCGGGGGAAGGCTGCGCATTCCACTCCGATCGCTCCGACTTATGAGGGAGATACCACTGCCAGATCTTCTGATCGGCAGAGGGGGGGTCCTTGAACAATCGGAGGCCCCAAACATACCAACCGACCTCCCATTTGGGATGGAAGAAGATCCCGATGCTCGTCTTGATCCTTACATAAGGAGCTGCAAACGCTGCCCGCGACTACTTGAGCCCTGAAGCGACAACACGGGTATTTCATTTACCGCTACGCCGAGGAATAGCTCAATCTCATTATCAATGAAGTCACCGAAGACCAGCTGTCTTCGTAAGACAGCGGGCAGGTTGCGGCCAAACCTGTTAGAATGCTTCCGCCGAGTACCAAGACTGCAGGGTGACGAAGGGTTTTCCATATCTCTCTCTCTATATATATATATGTATTTATATATATATATAGATATATATATATATGTAAACTTGTTCGGACGACACCAAACGTCGGCGAGATGAACCCTCGGTCAAATATCGCTCGCAAGCGAGTGCTCTGACAGTTTGAGAAGTACGGGATCCTACCAGAGGAATTGAAACAGCACGTGCTTCTCAGCGGGTCTCGGTTCAGTGAAGCCGCTTGGGGCACGGTTGAGCATTGGACGGGGGATCATATGAGTTTGGCGCGGCGCGCGAGAAGCTTCGGAAGCTTGAGCGACAATTATCCTCAGGTCAAAGACGGCCATTGTATGTTTGGAATGAGTTCCGCCTCGCACTTCGTTGGATGCCAAGGAGACGAAGACGGACATGGCGACCAGGGGTCGGGCCGCGACGGTTCCCACTGGGTTCGCATGGGACATTTTCTTTTAACCTAGCCCAGGTTCTGCGAGGAAGACGAGATCCTCGCTGAAGCCCTCAGGCACAGGGTCGACGCAGACGCGACCTTCGTAGCTGGAGACACGCCCGAGGGCGCGATTTCGGATGAAGACGAGGTTGTCGCCACTTTCGCCAAGGACACACAGGTGCGACTGTATTTGCACGGGCGGAAGCTTGGACGAGACTACCATTCAATGTCTTTTTCCAAAAGGTGAGTCCGAAGGCCCCTGCGCGAACGGACCACGTTCGACCGAGGCGTCGGACCAAAAGTAAACTGAGGAGCCGGTCGAAGCGCGCCCGACGCGGGGAGATCGGGCGCTGAGCGAGGGGCAGTGCGAACGGCCAGGCG